TAGAACACCCCCCTCCCACATAACCCCTACCTATACATAGGTAAACCTACCTATGTAAAATAGGTTTTCTGTATTATTTTTAAAGAGTAACTTATTTCTTTTCTAAAATTCATTCTCAAGCACAGCACCTATTTACACAATTTAAAATTGTAACCAATTTTAATGCTTCTATTTCCAGTTCCCATGCAAGTCTGGTTAAGACTTATCAGAAGTGACTTTTAGAGATGGACATTTTGCATTTTTTTGCTCAAATTTTTAAACAAAATATATTTAAGCAACTTATTTGTATTCAGTGAAAACTGACATTTACAATGGCAATTTTGTACGTTAATTGTATTTTAACTTTTACGTTTTGGCGCAGTGGGCTAAATTATTTGCCAACAAGCGGAGATCTCGGATTCAATCCCCGTGGCAGGATGGAAGCGTTTGGGGAATATTTTACTTCACCAGGCAAATAGCAGGTATCTGGGGAGTTAGACAGCTATTGTTGGCCTTATCTTGGGGATTCTCAGTTGTTGGCCAAGCAGATTAGTTACACACACACACACACACACACACACACACACACACACACACACACACACACACACACACACACACAGGGGGCTGGCTGGCTGGCTGAGTGGACAGCGCTCTAGGCTCGTGGACCTAGGGACCAGGGTTCGATCCCGGCAGCCAGCGGAAAAAGAAATGAGCAGAGTTTCCATCACCCTGATGCGCCTGTTACCTAGCAGTAAATAGGTACCTGGGAGTTAGACAGCTGCTACGGGCTGCTTCCTGAGAATGTGTGTGTGTGCGAGAGAGAGTAGTAGTTCTCTAGAGAGTTCTCTAGTAGACATAATATAGAAAAATAGATTTGCTAGCAAAGAAGGTCCATGAGCTAATATCTGGATTCTGCAAGCACAAATAATACATGCAAATGGTCAAATACATACGTCTCATACATACTCATGCATACGTCTCCTCACACAATTGACTCACAACAAGCTGGAGCCTTGAAGAGCCGCTCCTCATAACGAACTCGGAAGACCAGCTGAAATAGGCTAATACGAGGCCCCGGACGATAGAGCGAAGTTACGACTGATATTAGGCCAGGGGAAGGCCTCGTTATTTGGAGAATAAGGTTAGTGAATTGCTCGTGGATTTCATTAGTCTCCGTCAGGTACCGGTGAAGTACGCCTTAATTTATATAATTTCCAGGTTCTAACTGGAGGAACTCTTAAGAACTATCTCTTTTTTACGATTGGTAAAAGCAATTTGTCGCGCGTGTGTACTCACCTAGTTGTACTCACCTAGTTGTGTTTGCGGGGGTTGAGCTCTGGCTCTTTGGTCCCGCCTCTCAACCGTCAATCAACAGGTTGTTGATTGTTGAAGAGCAGAGGTGCAACAGGTACTCTGAGAGAGAACTCTATCAACATCAGAGGCCCGAGACTGTTCAACACGCTTCCACTACACATAAGGGACATAACTGGCCGACCCCTCACAGTGTTCAAGAGAGAACTATCAACATCAGAGGCCCGAGACTGTTCAACACGCTGCCACTACACATAAGGGGTATAACTGGTCGACCCTTCGCAGTGTTAGAGACAGAACTTGATAAGCATCTCCAAAGGATACCTGATCAACCAGGCTGCGATTCATACGTCAGGCTGCGAGTAGCTGCGTCAAACAGCCTGGTAGACCATTCCAGCAACCAGGAGCCCTGGTCGAGGACCGGGCCGCGGGGACGCTGAGGCCCGGAATCATAGCAAGGTACAGCTGTTTTGTTGATGCTTCAGTTGTTGAACAATTCGTTCTATCGATCGACAATGTTTCGTACCTTTGAAGACATTTTGTAAATGAGATTCAAACCCCTAAAAAATTGAGCAGTTGTAATACTGTGTTTATAAGATTTTTCTTGTGTGTATACTTTTAGTTGTATGTATTTATTTTTTTATGTATTATTTACACGTAATTTTATGTATTTATGTATTCTACACGTAATTTTTTCCCTAACACTAATTCTAAATTTAATACATTTAAATAATATTAACTTAATTGTAAAATGTATACTGAAAATCTCATCTTTTAAATTGTTTTACAATAAAGTTAAGCTTGGCTAATCGGTAATGATTTAGAAACGAGGCTTGAATTTCAATTGACTTAGAAAATCTATGTAGACGGCGCAGCTAAACAGAAAGGTGCAAACGTGGTTCCAGATGAAACAAATAAGATACCGATATAAATTAGATACGCAAGATACATACTGGATTCAGTAGGGTACATACTACATGCAGCGCGATAAAGTCTAGGTACCAAAAACCAGGCGTACTAGTCTCTATACGGTACATATAAGACTCTACGGTACCATGTCATACCATGGTACACTAGCCACCAAAATTCATACTTAAAAAGCTACTGTGTGTACTAGCACAGTACGATACACACTAGACACAGTACGGTACGTACCATTCACACTACGATACATAGAAGGCACACTACGGTACACACAGTATAGAATTACCTCCCAGGCCTTATCCAATATCCTCCCCCATTCCTATTTACCTCAGACAAGCAGCACAGGGAAATGAATGCCACACGGGAAATGAAAGTTGACATGGCAACTCTCCATGTTCAAGGATAAGGTCCCCCCACCGCAAGCTTCCCCGTGAACTAAATGAAGTCTCGGTACAAATGCGGGCAGTGCTCTGGAGAGTTCAGGGGATCGACAAGGAACTGTTGGATATGGAATTTTGATAACAAAGAGGTTCAAACTGTGATTTGGATGAAGTGGGTTAAGACGGGGTTTGTGAAATCTGTGTTTTTTTTTTCTATCTTTCTCTTTGTGAGTCTTTGTCTCTGTCTCTCTTTTCCTCTCCCTCCTCTGTCTCTCTCTCTCTTCCCTCTCTCTCTCTCTCTCTTCTCTCTCTCTCTCTCTCTCTCTCTCTCTCTCTCTCTCTCTCTCTCTCTCTCTCTCTCTCTCTCTCTCTCTCTCTCTCTCTCTCTCTCTCTCTCTCTCTCTCTCTCTCTCTCTCTCTCTCTCTCTCTCTCTCTCTCTCTCTCTCTCTCTCTCTCTCTCTCTCTCTCTCTCTCTCTCTCTCTCTCTCTCTCTCTCTCTTTCTTTGTACAGTTTCTTCTGTATAAACTTTTTCAAACTTTCATATAATTTCCTTAATTTTTTTAATGTGCGAGTACTCACCTAGTTGTGTTTGCGGGGTTGAGCTCTGCTCTTTCGGCCCGCCTCTCAACACTCAATCAACTGTTACAACCCCCCCCCCCCCTCCAGGAAGCAGCCCGTAACAGCTGTCTAACTCCCAGGTACCTATTTACTATTAGGGAACAGGAGCTTCGGGGTTAAAGAAACTTTGCCCGTTTTGTTTCTCGCCAGTGCCGGGAATAGAACCCAGGCCACAGGATTACGTGTCCAGCGTGCTGTCCACACAGCCACCGACGCCCTATAGGTGTGTGTGTGTGTGTGTACTCACCTAGTTGTACTCACCTAGTTGTGCTTGCGGGGGTTGAGCTCTGGCTCTTTGGTCCCGCCTCTCAACCGTCAATCAACAGGTGTACAGGTTCCTGAGCCTATTGGGCTCTATCATATCTACACTTGAAACTGTGTTTGGAGTCAGCCTCCACCACATTACTTCCTAATGCATTCCATTAGTGTGTATATGTGTGTGTGTTTTTTAGAGATAAATATATGTAGAAGACATAATAGAGGATAAATAGAGGGCTAGAAAAGTGGGGTCCACTCGCTCACGTGTACACAATTAACCAGGCAATTCAACATAAAATTTATCATCTGTTTACAGTTAACGCCGGAAAAAAAAAACGAGTGCTTCCACGCGCGTGAGCCACAATGAAACTTGGGTTCGAAGGGAATCAAGAAATGTGTTACCTGCTTCAATATATTTTTACTTTGATGGTGATCCCAGACCATTAAACCCGGGACTGACCACCTCGCACAACCGACACAAAGACTGTGTGATTTTTACACCAAGCGCGGGTGACGCTCTGGAAATTCAATATTCTCTTTTGTCGGGAGGGGGAGAGGCATGTTTTTATTTTTTATTTTATTCGCTGAATACAAACGGAAAGACATGGGACAGATAGATAGCCACATGATGACAATCAGGAATGGACAGACAGATTAGAACTGCCATCAGAAATCTGGACAAATAGTTTTCCCCTGAAGCTATGTTAGACTACACACGTCAGACCTATTCAGGAATATGCAGCAACAACATCAAACACAAAACGGAAGCAGATGGAATATTGGTGATTGGAATATTTATTTCCACGGATGATTGATGATTATAAGTTACCCAAGAGGTGGCACGGGCATGAATAGCCCGTAAATTTCCACGGAAGTGTGGATGACAACTTGTTGGTCCTATTAGTCCGATGGTACATGTGTTGCTAAATACATACATATTAGCGATAGTGTATCTGTTTGACAATCCTGGAGGCCAGACGCTTAAGGTTATCTTCACCAAACTTTACAGAGTGATTGGTAGGAGGTACGGGACTGTCATAGGCAAGTCGGAGTCAGCCTCATTGCCCCTCTTTAAAGGGGGTCGGCCCCCATGGCAACCTTTAAGTAGTCGGTAGAGATAATTAAAGGGCGCCCCGTCCTTGGTCTTACCATCTATTTGGCAAAAATTTAGATAAGTCTTATGTCAGATTTGCCTCTGGAGGCAACCAACACCTAATTATCACAAACTTTTGAGGTTACGCATATTTAAATGTATGCCCTGGAAACACAAACCGAAACTGTCACTATTTTCCGCTTGTTACAACTTGTAATAAAGTTGTTACATCTTGGCTTAACGTGTTTATGACGTATTAGAACGTTGCTACAACTTGCTATATTGGTTGTTATAACTGGTTAGCAGGTGCTAAAACTTGTTCGAACGTTGTACTAAATGTCGTAGTTTCGGTGTGTGCGTTTCGCGGGTATGTAACACGAATATATAATTAAAGCTGACATAGACAAAATAAAGTGAGATAAAGCTACTGACCACCAAATTTGACGCTGGGAAGACCTTCCAGCATCGTGGCCAGAGCAGGAGAAGTACGGTCACCAAGCTGAAAAAAACAAAGAAATTAAATTGCAGTAATATTTATGTTTCAATCCCTTAGAAGATTCGAACCCAGGGCGCCAAAAAGTCTCTCCGTCAATAACACTGGTACTCTGCCCACTGCACCACCACACGGCTGCTGGTGCAGTGGTCAGAGTACTAGTGTTGTTGATGTGGAGATCCGTGGCGGCCTGGGTTCGAATCCTTTGAGGGTCATAGAGTTAAAGTGATACATGTGCTTGGGGACTTCACAATCAACTTCATAAATGGTTCAGGACGGAACGAAACGTCGTGTGTGTGTGTGTGTGTGTGTGTGTGTGTGTGTGTGTGTGTGTGTGTGTGTGTGTATTAGCGTGTGTGCGTGTCATACATAATAGCTAGAATCGCATTACTTGGCTAAGTATGCATGACCCGATTTGCCTAACAGGCAGAGGGATTTTCGTCATTTTAATATATTTATTTTCACATTGGTTTATTCCAATTAATATTATTATATTATATGAAGAACATGAATTACTGACAGGTTAGGTTAGGTTTAATTAAATTTCTGTGTTGTTTTTTTACTCAAATTAAAAAAATTAACTCAAAATATAGATGAACGTTTCGTAAGAATATTTGTTTAAATATATGTAAGAAAAACTTGGCTTGTTAAGCAACTTGGCCTATTAGGTTATTACATATACCTAATATGTATATTAGGTATATGTAATATACATTTATGAATTTATCTATGTATATGTCTAGCTAAGAAAATAACCTATCCTTAATTTAACAGCAAGGGGGGGGGGGCAGGAGAAAGGGGGAGGAGGAGTGGGGGGGGTTGTGAAACTCATTACAGATAACTGGATTCCTATTACCAGAAACTCTTCAAAATAATCTTCACTAGCGCTTCAACCTGTTTTTTTTATATATAAAATTTGTTGCATGAGTTTATTTTAATTTGTTGCATATGTTTTACGTTCGTTTCTTGAAGTGGAAGTGTTGACGAGACCACATACTAGAAGGTGAAGGGACGACGACGTTTCGGTCACGTCCTGGACCATTCTCAAGTCGATTGTCGTACATAATAGCTACAATCACACAAACACACGGAAGTGGAAGTGTGTTTGGGATTTGTTTGAGAGGTGAGGTGATATTTTGTATTTCGAGAGAATGGTGTTCTGTCTTGGTGTGTGTTTGTCGTGTTAACAGCAAATCGTGGTAGGTTTGATAGCAAATATCGACAAGAGTTATTTTTGCGACCATGTGTTTATTTTCTGGTGTGTGTGTGTACTCACCTAGTTGACTTTATTGACTCACCTAATTGACTGTGTGTGTACTCGCCTAGTTGACTTTATTGACTCACCTAATTGACTGTGTGTGTACTCGCCTAGTTGACTTTATTGACTCACCTAATTGACTGTGTGTGTACTCACCTAGTTGACTTTATTGACTCACCTAATTGACTGTGTGTGTACTCAACTATTTGTATTCACCTATTTGTGCTTGCGGGGGGGTTGAGCTCTGGCTGTTTGGTTCCGCCTCTCAACTGTCAATCAACTGGTGTACAGGTTCCTGAGCCTACTGGGCTCTATCGTATCTACACTTGAAACTGTGTGTGTGTGTGTGTGTGTGTGTGTGTGTGTGTGTGTGTGTGTGTGAAAAACAAAATAGTAAATGCATCTTCACATTGCAGCTATGAATCTTTCTGTATATTACTGGAAATACATAATATCATTAACACACACACTCTAGACAACTAGGCTACGATATAGTCAAGCATGTCGTGGCTTAGTTGGTCTAAGCGTGTGCCAGGGTCAACCCAGCACATAGGTTCGAACCCCGCATCATGGCTCCTACAAACTTTCTCATTGGCATTATTAATCGTGTTCCGGCAGGAATTAGGTGCTGTAGATATTCCCACAAGCGCCATCCAAGTATTGTTTACATGAAACAGCTGATTATTACGTATATAAATTGACACTTACCTGAATCAGAACGGCCACAGCCACTACTCCATATACTTGACTTGCTGCTTGGCTGAAATTTCGGTACAGCTGCGCGTTGTAGCCGTAGATCTGCAGCTGTAGTGAAGAACAAAAATGGTGAATTGTGTGTTTATATTTTGTTGGTTTATGTAGGGATTAGAAATATACATTGCGCGAAATTGATTTTTTTACTTCAACTGTCGTGGCTTGACTATATTTTTGAGTTTGAACACTGTTTCATGAGTGTTTCATTAACTTTTTTAATGACACGAAACATGTTCATGATTCACGAGTGAATGTAACCTTCATAGTATTAATATTTCATTATGTGAATTATTCACTCGTTTCTCCTCACCATGTTGTGTTTCCAAGATATTTCCAGAATATAATCTTTGCCAAGATATTTTGAGCAATTAATGCATATGATAATTTTCGTATTTATTTTCTATAATCATATCTTCATTTCCCAGAGGAAAAAAGTCACAATATTGTATAATTATGAACAAATCCACAAGCGCCGTGACGAGGATTCGAACCTGCGTCCGAGAGCATCCCAGATGCTGCCTTAATCGAATCCACCCATGTGGATTTGTTCATTTGATGCATCACTTAATTGTGATTTCTGTGTGTATTGTATATTTTTTTTGGGGGGGTGGGGGGGGGGTAGGGGGGGTTTAAGGATCAGAGTTATAGAATAAAATAAAATAAAAAAAGAGGTCTGGTGCTTCAAGAGTTGAGTGTTTAATAACCATTTCGAAAAGTGCACACAGCCGGAGCACTTCACGTCGCTTAAAAGAATTATGCATTTTTTTGGCAATTAAATTTTTTTTATTTGTTATTTTTTGAACGACTGAAATGGAACAGTAGTGGGTGAATAAACCGAGCAACTAATAACAACTAAGAATATGATGAAGATACTCTTCATCATACCTCAGTATGATGAAGATACTCTTCATCATACCTCAGTATGATGAAGATACTCTTCATCATACCTCAGTATGATGAAGAGAGTCACACTAGTACAATGCTCTTGTACTTGTTAATAAAAACAAATATATTTATAACGGATGCTTAGGATAGAATTACAATCTTTCCTTGAAAAAATTCCATTTGTTAATAAGTAACTTCAAACATTCGTAATTAATACAGTTTGATGGTGTGGTAAATACTTGAAACTCTGATAGTTAACAATACGTTGCTATCGTACATGAGCTTGATCAGAATTTCCCTTTTCAGAATGATTTAGAAACATTAACGTCATATTAGTATATCAAGTCTTTCAGCCTTACGCCCTTTTAGTATGTTTCTAATGTATGTCGTATGTGCCCTTTGAGACCGGAATGTTTAGCATTATAGAGTGATAGGGAAATGGGAGAGAAGGATAGACAGGCGAGAGAAAAGGATAGACAGACGGGAGAGATGGATAGACAGACGGGAGAGAAAGATAGACAGGCGGGAGAGAAAGATAGACAGGCGGGAGAGAAGGCTAGACAGGTGGGAGAGAAGAATAGGCAGGCGGGAGGGACCTGTCTATCTAGAATCTGGCTATAGGCCGGCCGGAGAGAGATAGTCCATCGGGAGAGACAGGGATAGTCTGGTGGGTGTGCGGGATAGACAGGTTAGAGAGAGAGAGAGAGACAAGCAAGCAGTAGAGAGGCATCCATAGAAGAGAGCACCAATCAGCTCCGTTCAGCATTGACGCTGAAGTTAATCATATTAAAACTTCTTTTGTGTGGTGTACCTGTCAATTAAATGTAGCATGTCTGAATCAAACTTCACTTTTATAAGCTTGTCTGAATAGGAAAGTTCAACGTTGAGAAATCAATAACATTACAACATATATAGGATAAAAACCCACACTACTGTATTTGTGAAATTTATGTAATTTACACCAAGTTTTTCACACTCTCCTGAGTGTATGTCAAGGTCTGAGTGTGTGATTAAGATCAGACTTACATCTCAACGTCTAATGAGAGGATTAGAGAAGTCTGAAGAAATATTAGGAGTTTCTATTTCTAAAAATTAGAAATACCATTTCTAATTACAACATATCTTAATTTCGTTCTTCTTCTCAAGTGTATTTGAACAACATTGCTGCTTTATTGGTAGCAGGAAGGGGGGGGGAGGGGGGTTATTGGACGTTGCTTGACGATGTAAGGCAATTAAGCATCTAAGCTTAATAGTTTAACAATATAAAATCCAATGTGAATACCTGTGGGCTACTTCTTGGTTATTAAGTATGTAGATGGGTATAATTAAACTCAGATTTTAGCGCTAGACGGCGGGATCCGAACGAGATCCAGACTAAGTCGAGGCGGGGCCAAAGAGCCGAAGCTCAACCCTCGCAAGCACAATTACGTGAGTACAGTGACTTCGGAATACATTGAAAGTTTATTTTTTTTAATCCTTCCACTTGGACTGGTCGGTAGAGCGAAGGCCTTGCTTCTTGCAGAGTCGGCGTTCGATTCCCAGTGGTCCAAGTGGATGGGTGTAGGGTCCTCATAACCCAGCTCCTTGTATCTATCTCTCAAGTGCTGTAGCGCTTTCTCCTAATAATTACCTTACCTTTGCCTACCTTGTTCCCACGCAGTCTTCCCTGATTGGCTCCTTCTTTTTATAATTACTTGCCTACGTTGTATTCTAGATTCATACAATACTCATTAGTGCCTCGTTCTAATATGCATTGTATAAAAAATTTAGAGTGATTTGAGCCAAGACATACAACGACAGTCAAGAACAGTTTAGCTTAGATATTTACTTGAGTGGGAAGAAGTGACTGGAAGGGTTTCTTTGTAACTATTTCAGCTGTATGATGGTAGAATTTAGTTGTACTGTCTTATCTTGCGGTTATCTTGAGATGATTTCGAGGCTCTAGTGTCCCCGCGGCCCGGTCCTCGACCAGGCCTCCACCCCCAGGAAACAGCCCGTGACAGCTGACTAACACCTAGGTACCTATTTTACTGCTAGGTAACAGGGGCATAGGGTGATAGAAACTTTGCCCATTGTTTCTTGCCGGCGCCTGGGATGGAACCCAGGACCACAGGATCACAAGTCCAGTGTGCTGTCCGCTCGGCCGACCGGCTCCCAGATATACTATACTGTCTGATATACTCACGGCATATGTCTTGCAGGAATAGTTTGTTAATGTTAGGTCTGCAAACATGTCTGAAAAAATATATTTGATATTGTTTCTCATTTATCATCTGTTTCGTGGCTCTTTATCTCAATAGAGGGGTAATTTTTCCTTCAATATTCTCTCTTTAAATGTGTCTCCTTGTACCTGTGTCGACGTTTTATTGACTACAAATCTTAATCCTAAACATGTGCTAGTTGAAGTCTTAGAAAACATGAGTAATACGTTTATCATTAACGTTGATCATAAATAGATCCATCACATTTCTGTGATGGAATTTTAATATTATATTATGTAGAAAACGTTTTATTTATGGGATAAATACCAGTTAACTATTGACGGCTGAGCGAGATCTCACATGCCCATAAGAGGAACAATTACCAACCAGCTGAAGTATGTGTAGATAACATCGTCTCTCAAGTCGCTTTGCCTTTTACAGGCAATGTAGTAAGTGATGTTTAAGACACAGCTGTGATTTGTAATACAAGAAATATTGTTTTGCTCCGAAGATTTGGGTAATTTTGTAACTAGCTCATCAAGATTGTAACTTGCTGAGGTAAATGAATTGTGGGGTTCAGTCCCTGAGCCCATTATGTGCCTCTGTAACCCTTTCCACTAACGCCCACAAGATGGGTATGGGGTGCATAATAAATGAATTAAACTAAGATTTGGGTAAGGCTGGCTAGTTGTAGGAGAAAGCGCTAAGCCAGTATGTCTATGTAACAGTGAATGGGACAGGAGGACTGGATGCTGGGATGGTAACGGACGAAAAAGAAACGCAGCCCCAACCACTTGAAGTGTCGGGGGATTGAACGCCGACCTGCAAAAAAACGAGATGGTCGTTGTACCGACCAATCCAAGTGAATCGCAAAAAAAAAGGGGATATTGTGTTGGGTGTTTGTAGCTACAGAGCAAAAAACACATTTTCTTTGCCCTGTTGACAAGTAATACTCAATAGTGAAGACTTGAAAGAAAAGGGTGAATTTTGCAATAAGAAACATTCTACAATGTTGTAGTTTTTTACACGAAACACACAAGCTTTACGATGTGCCTCACTCCCTTTAGAAAGTGAGACCCACTTACCCTTGTAGGAAAGCTGCAGTTACCAATAGTGTTTTCTAGTTGAAGTTATCAATGCAAACCATCAACAACTTTCTAAAAAGCCCCAAAAACAACTCGGCTACGACGCGAGATACAATGTCACTGTACCTCGTAACACTGTACTATGTCACAGTACCTCGTAACACTGTACTATGTCACTGTACCTCGTAACACTGTACTATGTCACTGTACCTCGGCGGGGAAGGCGTAGTTGGCGATCGTGTGCTCGGAGCCCTGTAGGTCTCTCTCGCCGAAGTGAAGACGCAAGTGACTGACGGCGTAGGTGTAGGAGAGAGGCCCGCCGGAGAGGTTGACTTGGGGACTTGATGAAGACTTCACCCGCCATTCGAGACTATGACCTGTGTTGACCAGCATTCCTTGGACCTGTGGACGAGTAGATAACCACTAGTGGAGGGAATAATGTTGGTGATATGGGGCCAGATTCACGAAAGCACTTACGCAAACACTTACGAACCTGTACATCTTTTCTCAATTCTTTGGCGGCTTTGTTTCCAATTATTAAACAGTTAATGAGCTCCGAAGCACCAGGAGGCTATTTATAACAATAACAACAGTTGAATGGGATGTTTTCATGCTTGTAAACTGTTTAATAAATGTAACCAAAGCCGTCAAAGATTGAGGAAAGATGTACACGTTCGTAAGTGCTTGCGTAAGTGCTTTCGTGAATCTGGCCCCTGGATAATACGGTTATTTGTAATGGTCAACCTTAAACATGTGACTCCTTGTGCAGTTACAGGTGCCATGGAATCTGTGCCTTCTAATGGAAGTCTGGAACCTATTATTAGTATTTTTTTTGCACAATTTGGCACAGGAATAGACAGTTTTTGACTCCTGTTAGCTAGATAGCTCAATAGCTCTGCTGTTAGCTGTTTGAGAGTCTTCTCTGTCCATAGCTCATGGTAAGCCTTACCTTATTAGTTTCCCTGAAACTCGACCCGTCAATCGTTTAACAACCAGGTATCCAAGTACTGCTGGGTGAATAGATGTGAACAGTTCAGGACTGACGCCTAGTCAATCTTCCCTGAACAAGACTCGAACCCAAACCAAGTCGCTCGTGAGGTGAATGCCTAGTGTGATGTTACCAGTGCGCCACCAGGGTAGTTGTGGTACCATGGAACCTTGGACAAGATTCCAGGAAGTTCCCTGGAACCTGTGAGCAGCGGCTTCTACTTAGGATGACTTAGTGCAAGGAACTTGTGGAAACAATTTATGTCCATTACTCTATCTCGGGAATTATCAGACTAAGAAAATACTATTAGCAATAAAAGCTTCAACCTCGGAAAAAAAGTTGAAGAGCTGTGAGCTGAAGAACAAGTTCGACAGCAACATCATAAGAGGAAAACCCCTCGCTGGAAAGTTTAAATCGTAAGTTACGTAAAACTAAGCGAGTGAAATTGGCTGAATATATTAATAAGAGCCGCTCCGCATTCGTAGTGGCCCGACGCCGACTCTCTAAATTGATGCTCGTATGGAAACAGTTGAAAGAAACAGATTGATAAAGATTAAGCCACCGAAAAGGTGGCACGGGCATGAATAGCCCTTAAGAAAAGATCAGGAAATCATAACATTTGTTAAAGAAATTTTCTTAAAACTAAAAAAAAAAAAAATCTATAAAAATAAGACCTGAAGATAATTTATTTGTTGTAAACAACATTTCTATCCAATTACATGTTATTTAGCTATTTTCTTTTCATCTATAATATTATATTACGGTTCATGTTTCAGACAATGTTTTCACTGGTATATTTTTGGCCTGTCTATTTTTTTTCTAAAGATACTAAACATGTCTATATAATGTCGAAAATATAATCACCAGGTTTGTTCAATGGAAAATAGTGCGTTTAGTTTAAATTGCTATTATTATTTGGGGAGATATATTTCTTAAAAAAATAAATAGGAATTTCGAAGGAATTACACCGCATGTGTTACAGTTAAACGTCGTGCACACACACACGCACACACACACACACACACACACACACACACACACACACACACACACACACACACACACACACACACACACACACACACACGCACACACATGCACGCGCACACACACACACACACACACACACACACACACACGCACACACATGCACGCGCACACACACACACACACACACACACACACACACACACACACACACACACACACACACACACACACACACACACACACACACGCACACACATGCACGCGCACACACACACACACACACACACACACACACACACACACACACACACACACACACGCACACACATGCACACACACACACTACTTTCTACTTTTACTTATTTAGAATTAAACGGCAATTTTTATCTAAATGCTCTTTATTCCCTTCTCAGAGGCTATGGGTCCCTACAATTGCACCAGAAGTTGTACCCCTATAATATATATATATATATATATATATAATATGGGAGTCTCGATTTTAATAAAACATGAGAGCAAATTGCAAGAAGACTTTGTTGCTAATATTCAAAGCAACATCTGTGCTCATCAAAACATATGACCTACTTACCAAGTAGCGGAGCAGAATTATGCTCCTCTAATTAAATTATACTATAATTTTGGCAGCTCATAATTTCTGAGTACTCGGAAAATTAATTCCAGAGAGTGAAAGAGAGAGAGAAAGAAAGAGAGAGACAATTAGAGAGTGTGACGATACGTCTGGAATAGATGTTACTTCGCTTTTATGTTTGTGTTACTGATTACAATACTTAATGAATTATTACATCAAACAAACAAAACTAAATTCGATAGCCTTTTGATCGTTGACATTGTATTCATCAATTGGGAACATTTTGTAGCATATTTACAGTTTTTCAATTACTAAAATCAGAATGCTTTTTCTTTCAAAATTAAGTTGAAAAAAAAATTATGTCGACTGTAAGAAGAGTATCACCAAATGATTTTGTTCTTCTAATCTATTTCAAACGGCTATAGGAAAGATAAACTGGACTGGAGCTCTTGAGGTGACTTGAACAGAGATTTCTGACGCTTATCGCTAGATCCCTCCCTGACCTGCTAAAAGTTATACAACCGGATTTCTACTGAAATCACTGAAGGTCTGGAGGCTTTTCCTGAAGCCACTCTTTTAAGTTTTTGGTATAACCCGTCAGCACTGCATTGTAGACAACGTAGTTCATCTTCCTTAGATTATTTACCAATCGAGAGAATTTGAAAGTTTGATTTCATTTCAGTGTTCATTAGTATGCAGGCATGATAAAAAAAAATTATTATCTGTGTTTTTCTTTGTCCGACTCTCTGTTTGCTTGTCTGCTTTCCTGTTATTTCCTCTGCACTTTAGAACCACGTTTTGTGTTGTGTCAAACTGATCATAAATTATTTGCTTCATGTCAAAAAGTCCAACTAATGCAGCTACTCTCCCTTAACACACATTATTTTTCACATTCCCGTTTACCAGTTACAATGTTCAGATGATTTGTTGAATCTATATTTACTCTATGTTGTCACCCATACAATTGTAATCACTAACATGCAGCTATCTCATATAGGCCTTCCTACAGCGTTTCTAAATAGTTTGAATTGTCTACAGCCTATTTTGGAGTCATACGCAAGCTATGTGATGATGTTCATCAATTCTGGATCTACACAATTTATTTACATGAACAAAAACGTTCATGTTTGGGACAAAACTCATTCACAACATGATTAGAATTTACAACTATAGTTTCATGTATCTATATAATACATTTCTGTGTGTGTGTCCAAGGTAAGAGGGCAGAAGGCTGGGGTTAGCCTTTCCCAACTTTGCAGGGGGAAGGGGGGGGTGTTCTGGGGTAAGGGACTGCCATTGGTTGGTCAGGGTCGTGAAGAATTAAGAGCGTTAAAAGGGGCGAGAAGTGTGAGAGGAGGAGAGTAGGAGAGAGAGAGAGGAGAGGGAGAAAAGAGAGAATTGTGCGAGAGGGGGGAAACGTTGGAGAGAGATGGGAAGAGTGGGGAGGATATAGGAAAAACAGAGATGAGAAAGGGGGAATTTTAGAGAGACACGAGGGTATGGAGAAGGAAGGGGGGGGGAAGGGGGGGCAGAGACCCAGGCACAGCCGGGTTCCAGCTTCACCCATCCGGCCTAAGTTTGATATAAACAACAATTCACTATGAAATTATATATAACTAACATATCTTTCCAAAGGAAGATTACTATTTGTGTGGGCATTGTTAGTGACATTGTTCATGATTCGTCACTACTACGAACTGCTACGACATTGCTACACTGACATTGTTAACCTGCCGTTGCTATACTGCCGTAGCTACACTGGCGCCACTGCACTACATTGCTACACTGATAATGCAACACTGACATTGTTACACTGACTTTTGAAGATTCCAAAATAAAACGTAGAAAATTGAGCATCATAAACTCTGTATATGAACCCTTTAGAGACCAGACCGTGGGACCAGACCGTGAGACCAGACCATGAGACCAGCCCATGAGACCAGTCCAAGAAACCAAACCACGATACAAGACACTATGACGAGACTTAATAGTTTCGTCACAATAATTTCACTATCCAAACTGACTACTAAAGCGAATCACCGTAACAAATGTCCCACTCAACAAGAAATTACATTAATTCATTAAAAAATCTGATTGAATCCCATCATCCTCAATGTGACAGCTCATCTATTTTTCATATGTATACAAAATTAATTTCAGAGACGCTTGTATAATGTTTTTCATATTAAGAACATAATATTATTTTCAAAATTTTTATTGTTTTCAATTAACAAGGTTTTACAGAACATATATATATATATATATATATATATATATATATATATATATATATATATATATATATATATATATATATATAATGTAATCAACTCCCTCTATCATTGTCACCTCATTTTAGCCATCCACCACCATCATAATATAATCATATTTTCTCTGATTGAATAATATAATTCTCAGCTCGGTTGCTCATAATATATACGTTTGTGAATTATTAATTTAATTTCAGAGAGTGGTTCACTGTTCTGCATACTGAAAGAATTTGATTTAGAGATCTAAAATACTGTTACTCTCGCGTTAAAAACACACACACACACACACACACACACACACACACACACACACACACACACACACACACACACACACACACACACGCACACACACACGCTCTCGCGAACGACTGAACTTAAACGGTGAAACAAGGAAAAGTGTCAAGACTTAAAACCGGAATATTTCGAGACGAAGGGGGAAGTGAACTACAATAAAAATCTTCAGGAACTCGAGCTCATCACCTTCAAGACAAGAATGAATCGTGCAAATATGATAACGACGTACGAGATATTAACGTAAATTGCTAAAGCCAAGATAAACGGA